CTTTGGGAGCCCAGGTAGAACAGCTTACAGAGAACCACTCCACCTTCATTTCTCAGCATATCTGTTAAATGTGTTATATTTTCTTTCAAGTGGACATAGACTTCCAGTGTAGTAGTGACTATGGCTATCGTGGACTTTTATTTGGAGGTGTCAAAGCATAATCCAGTAAGCAGCCATTCTGTTTCAGTTCAGTGAGGTGTGCTTAATGCCATTAGTTATGCAAAAGTGACTTCTACATGCAGTTTTCAGATATTGATGAAGATCAATGGATGTAATAGAATTCTAAAATATGAATCAGGGACATTTTTTTTTAATCAGTGCCGTGCAGCTCAGTAATAGCCTTCCACACAAAAAAATAAGTTGTAGGAGGTATAAACTCTTACATTAGCACTGGTAAGAGGGCTACTACATCTGGATCATCTCTCTAAATCTCCACAGACTCTTACTGAAATATAATTATTGAAGATAGAGGCACTGGTATCAATATGCTACTGCAGTTGGAGCAGGTTGTTGAAACTTCAGCAAGTCCTGAGTCATATTCCCTTTAAAGTTTCATTTAAAGTCAATCACAATGATTAATTACTGGTGCAAGTGATGAAAAAAAACCCCTAGCCTTTATTCTGGGAAATTGGACTATAATTTAACCATTATTCTGCCAAGAAACTACACCTTTGTGTAAGCTGCTTGATAGTTAGAAAACAATGGTGGTTTTGGTTTTTTTTTTCTTTAAACACACCCTGGATAAACAAATTGCTTTGAACAAGATACGGAAACTGCAGAAATATAATGCTGTGTTTGTCTTGGCAGGCTATTGCTGCATTCATGAATATTTTTCCTATCTTTTTTTTTAAATGAATAATGCTAGTGTAGGTTCTTAAAAGATACCAGTGATGATTTTCAAAGGCTTTAGACATTTACTGAATATTTTATGCACTTTAAAGGGGTTTCTTTAACTTACTGATAAAGGCTATTGCCATTTATATAATCATAAAAATGCCTCCAAACTCTCAAAATATATTTAAGGTGATCCTACACTTAAAATAGAGAGAAAACAAGGATTTGGCTAATTTTTAACAGCACCTGTGAAAAAGGTAGTGAAATATTTTAAATACAAAATTGTAGAGGTACATAATTATTTACAGTTCATGCAGGGAAGCAAATGAAAATAATGTATTTGTTTGTTCATAATAAAGTGGTTACCTGCTTCACACACAGCCCTTGTGGAATTGAGTATTTCTCAATAGTATTAGAAACAACACAACTGTTTCAACAGAAACAAGGAAGTGTTCAATATAACCAGTTTATTTTTTACTTATTTAAAAATATTCAAATGTTCAAAATAAATAAAGTCTACAAAATAGACACATCCATATGCACTATGAGTGCCCCCTAAGAATTTTTATACCTGTTACTCAGTTTGAAAAAGAAAAAGTGACAAAAGAGTGGCAGTCTCAAAAAATAATGTATGGTCTTACATTTCAGGAAAGAGAGGTAGCTGAGTAAAAGAAATATGTTAATATTGGCAACTGCTGGTGAGAGAATTAAGGCAATATTATTGAGGAACACCTAAGATTCCACAGAGAAGCAGTATATTATGAATATTTCAGCTGCACTACAAGCCTCAATCAGGTAAAATAAAGCTTTGTTACTGTTGTTGCTCCTGAAATGGTTTTATTTCATTTTAAAGTATATATATTTATTTCTATACAGAGATTCTGGAAGCTCCGGAGTTTTAAGCTTTTTGAACACAGTAACAGAAGAGACACTAGAATCAGGATGTGAAAGAAGGGGCTGGTTTTTTAGCTAGGCACCTTGCCTCCCACAAAAGCCTTATCTTGTTTCTCTGTTGTGTCAAGCTGCCTCGCCGTCAAGCTGCAGCAGGGTGGAGGGAAAGTGTTCATTTCTCGCCTAGACAAGTTCCAAGGGGCTCTGCTGCAGCTCACACTTCTGCTGAGAAAATGCCACATGCTGAGCCAAGCTCATTTGTATTTGAACTCCACTGAAGCTAATGGGCTTTCCCTGGGGATGAAGATGGCTTCTTGAAGCTAGGTATAAATGAAAGAAGACATCGCTAAGGGGAGCTGAAACAGAGCATGAAACTGTTTATTTTGAGGTCAGGAGATGTTTTTCCTTTTTCAGCTTATCTTGGCCTGGAAAGAATTTTATAGCATGGAGCATCCATACCATTATCTGGGCTGGATAATGAACTATGCACTGGGAGGCACATGCTTCCACACTGGGCAGCTTCCTCTTCCTCCAGCCCACTGCTTCTTCAATCTCACTCTTGCTAATCCATCTATTGATTAAAAGCTGTTAATTATTTCAACCTTTCTTGCCTTAGCTGAAATCTTTTTTTGAGAAAAAAAAAATTCTAGCCCTTTATTAGTTCTCAAACTAAAGTCAGTAGTTATCTGTGTATTAATAATTAACTGAAATGCATTTTAGAGCTTGCTCTTCCCTGGGCACATTTGATAGTGGGCCATCAGCTGAAAATTTTGGCAGGGTCAGCCTTCAAGGGTAGTAGTGCCTTAGGCTGCAAGACTCCAGACTTCTTTCCTAAGTTTTATTTATGCCTTAGTACTTTCTCAGTTCTCCCAGAATTTGTGCTGTCAGGATTTCTGCCTGTCTGCAGGCTGCCAGAGCACCCTTGGAAACACAGAGCATTCACGCTCAGCACTGACATTCAGATTCATTTGATGTCCCTAAACATCTTTATGCTCTTCTTCATCTTCTCTATGAGGAGTCATTGAATGTCTCCAAAACACTGTCTCCTAGATCATGCAACACAGAAATTAGGAATGGGAAGGGAGTTTAGGGTTAGCCACACATCAGGACAGAGCTCTGAAAGCCATCCTTTTCAAACTTCTATACATTGCAGCCTTTTTGAAGTGATGCCTGACTTTGAATGGTTATGTTGAGACAATATAAGCTGATCCCTCTGAGGCAATACCCAGTGTAGAATGTGTCTTTCTCAATATGCCAGATGTAAGAAAGTGCAACTTTTCAACTCAGATTATGTAGACACCTGTGTGTATAATTGCCTTATTCAGATTTCACTGTTGGACAAAGCGATGGCCGTGACATTTCCTTGGGGACCTTCCAGCAAATTGAACTAGAGACGTAAGCATTCATCTGAAAAAGCCATCTCACAGCTTCTGATTGGTTGGCATCCAACAGAGACAAAAATAAGTATCAAAATGAGTGGCCACTTGTGCAGGCTGCCTGTGAGTACACAATGTCATACAGTGTGCAGGAACCTGTATACAGCTACTCCTTACTTACAGCACATGACCCAGGCCTGAGAGCACGTATGATTAATGGTGCCAGCTGGAAGACACTTGTAAACTCACCCAAAGTTCAGTGTATGGAAAAAATAACCAGCTGATGAGGTTTTGCTGCAATGGAGAGGGCACGTTTCCTGCTTGAATACTACGATGACAGGGAAGTGGTGAACAAAGTTGTGAGTTGTGAGGATGTGCTAGTAGTTTTTAATAGGTAACCCACAAAAGGACAGTGGGAGGTGTATCTCCTTCAGAAATGCTACTGGGAAAGGTCTGCCATTCAAAGGGAAATGGGGCAGTTCTCCCCCTTATCTATTTTGATTTTCCCCTGAGGAGTAAGTTGCTAGCTTGCCTACAAATAAAGAGCAAGAGACCTCAAATCCTCCTAAACTCAGAGAAGAGCTGTGCCTTCCTCCAACTGCACACAGTGTCCAGCTATGGCAAGGGTGCATAGGGCTTGGAAAAGGAGGGTCAAAGCACCAGGACAAGATAGTCATGGTGAAGGAAACACCCAAGGCATGACTACACCGGGCACCTGCAGCTGGAGAGATCAGCACTGGAGTTGGAGAGTACCTCCACTCCAGGATTTGTCATGATATCCCAGGGCTGCTACCAAGTGTGCTGAGGAAATGAAGGACCAGAACTCTTCTCTGAAATGCCAAAGGTTACCGCATGGGCACACAGCTCATGTTCCCACTCACCAGGCTGGCAGAGGGAACACCTTATAGAATCACAGAACCACAGAATTATGTGAGTTGGAAAGGACTCTCAAAGATTATTCCATGGGGAGGGACACCTTCCACAAGACAAGGTTACTCAAAGCCTCATCCAACCCAGCTTTGAGCACTTCCAGAGACACGGCATCCACAACTTCCTGGACAACCTGGTTCCAGTGTCTCACCAAACTCATAGCAGAAAATTTCTTCCATGTCCAACGTAAATCGACTCTCCTTCAGTTTCAAATCATTGCCATTGGTCTATCGCTATAGGTAAAAAAATCCTTCCTTATCTTTCTTATAACCCCTCTTTAGGTAGGTTTATAAATGGCTGCTTTAAAGTGTCCCCAGAACCTTCTCTTCTCCGGGCTGAAGAGCTCCAACTCTTTTGATGTTCATAGGAGAGATTCTCCAGCCCTCTGGGCATCTTCGTTGCCTCCTCTGGATTCAATCCAGAAGATCGCTCTTCCGGGGAAGGGGTGTCGTGGTTACGGGCGACCCGCGCGGTACCAAGGAGGAACCCGGTACTGTCCCCTGGGGCCGGGGGCAGGTGCGGGGGCGGTGACAGGGGCAGGGGGAGATGCGGGGCAGGGGAAGATACGGGGCCCGGGACAGGTGCGGGGGCAAACGGGGGGTCACGGATCCGCCACCACCGCCCCCTCCCGGCCGGGCAGGGCCGCGGGGCGGGGCCAGGGCCGAGGTCTGGGCGGGCCGCTCCTCTGCCCGCCCTCAGTGGCGGCAGCGGCGGCGTTCGGCCTCTTTGTGCCGCCTGCCCCAGCACCCCTGGTCTCCGCCTCGCCTCTCCCCGACCCTGCTTCGCTGGGCTCCGGCCGCCGCCGCTGTCGCTGAGGGGATCGGCGGGTCAGCCCGCCCTCGCCCTGCTGCGGAGCTTCCCCGCCTCCCTCCCCGCCCCGCCGCCTCTCTACCCCGCCTCGTCCCTCTGCCCCCGGTGCGGGCTACTCGCGGCCGCCTCCCCCGGCCGCTGCGAGCCCTCCGTGCGCGCTGCCGCCCGAGCTCCCTCCCCGCCGTCGGGGATGGCGCGGCTGGCAGCGCCCGTGCGCGCCTGAGGCGGAGGGGCGAGCCCGCCGCCGCCGCGGGAGGAGGAGGAACAGGAGGAGGAGGAGGAGAGATGAAGCGCTTCCACCCTGGGGTCGCGCTGCTGCTCTCGCTGCTGTGGGAGGTGAGGTGGGCCGTGAGGGGAGCGCTGCCCTGCCCTACCCTGCCCTGCCCAGCGGCGCCTGCGGCAGCCCCGGGTTCACCCGCGGGGTTCCGCCCTCGGTCGCGACCTGGAGCTGCGCGGCTGGCGAGGGGAGCTGCAGCCCGCACCGGCCGGGGTGATCTATTTCGGGATTAATGTCTTTGCCTATGGGCTCGGCTCCACAGGCGGTGCGCGGTCAGGGGTGCGGGGGAGCTGCGGGCCGGGCCGGGCTGGGCTGGGCGAGACCCGGTGCGGCTGCGGGCGCGGTGCTCACGGGCGGTCGCGGCGGCCGGGCTCGACGGGGGTCCGGGGTCTCGCTGCTGGAGCACAGCAGGATTATCCGCGGTGTGATGGAGCAGAGTAACACGGGACCTGTACGCAGGGGCACAAGCTGCTGGGAGCTGCCCATTCCCAGCACACTAGCAGACTGTCCAGGGGACACAAAGCCTGTCAGGAAGGGTTAGACGGAAGGCTCATCTCTTATTTTCGTTATCCTCTTATTTTCATTTCCTGGGCAAAGTGTCATTGCGAGGTCGGTGCGGCGGCATCAGCTCACGGGGAGCCGTGGCGGCACCGTGCAGCGTGGTTAAACTTCTGGGAAAACCTGGATAGCGTAGCTTTCGTACTTAAAACAACCAAACAAACAGTGAATTAGGAGCTTTCATTAATTGGAGGGGGGATTTGTGCCACGCAGTTGTAGAATAGTTTGGGTTGGAAGACACCTTAAAGATCGCCTAGTTTAAACCTCCCTCCGGTGGGCTGGGATGACTCTGGATCGGGGTTGGGAAAGCAGCTCTTTATTCCAGCGGGCGGATGGGCAGATATTTTCGGGGGCGAGCTGTGTGTCGGTGTGTGGTTTACCCTCGGGGCTGGGGGCGGGCAGGGGACAGCAGTGTCCCCCGGGACAGAGCCGAGCGGGCGTGTGCCCTGTGCCGCTCCCGTGCGGGGTCACCGCCGGCACCGCGCCGGGCTGGCTTCGGAAACACCCCTGGGCTTCTCTTAGGCACAGCTCCACGCTCTTAAACCCAGAGGCAACGTAGCTGAAAGTGTCAGAGAGGTGAAAGAAGCTGTGCTGCCTCTGTGATAGAGCAGTTTAGACAGGAAATGAATTTATTTATGTTTTTTTAAAACGGCGTGCCACCAAACCCATACATGGAAACCGGAGTGCTGGCTGCGTAGTTACTGCTTTTGGTAATGGATGTAATTCATGCAAATGATGTTTACTACATGTTTATGCCACCTACGTAGATGAATGGTTTCTGGTGTGTTGCCCACTGTGCCATCCAGCATCATGCCATTAAAACACTCAGGTCAAAATCATCGCTTAATGTAAATAAGTGTAACTCTTTACAGGTTAATTGATTTGCATCTCTTTTCCCCGGCTCTAAGCCTGCCCTTGGTTCTAGCCCTCGACTGCTCTTGACTCCACAGCAGCTCTTCAGAAAGCAGGAATAGCAGAATGTCGATTAAATGAAACAAACACCACCATTTCCCTGAGGGATTGTGTTCATCTGAGACGCTGAAAGGTTTCGCCCCTCCAGGATCTCTTTGATTAGATGTGTCTGCTCTCCTAACGTGTATTCTGCTGAAAAAGATCATTCGTGCCTGAAAAAAGTAATTTGCATAAATCCTCATTGGATCTAGCCAGTGGTGCTGTTATTTAAGCTTTTCTACTGGTTTTAATTGTGGGGTTCCCCCCCCGCCCCCTTTTCCTTTAATCTTGAATGCTTGTTTTGCCATCTGGTTTTGTGGATTTTTTTTTTCTGTCTTGGAAGCTCTTAGGTTGCCTATTAAAATGAGATGGCTTTGTAAATAAGGCTGTATTTTACATGCCCAGAAACAGAATGCTGGGTGTTTAAATAACTTAATTGGAGACATCTGGTTGTTTTGAAGGTTTTTGGTGCATGAAACTTTCGCTGTCTTCTGCACAAAGTTCTGTGCTGGTTATTATCTGAAATAACATTGTTGCAATTGTTTTAAATCTGTTTGCAGCTTCAACATGGTCTTAGTTATTATTGGACAGAGCATGAGCTGAGAAGTGTAGTTTTCATTCATCATTTTGCAAAAGGCTCTGACTATTACCCAGGTGCTGTGGGGAGGAACCCATTTAGTCTGTCAGAGCACTGTGCAGTAGTTTACTGGTTCTAGCTGGGTTTTCCTTGGGTAGATTACCAAAAATACTTGTTGTAAAATGTTTGTGTATTGCAAAACCACTATTTCTGGTTATGTTGATGAAAGGAATGAGCTCCTTCACAGTTAAGTATGCATCAGGTTCGTGGTGGGTGTGAGTTTGGATGTGGGCACTGTGTGTGTTGGTGGCTTTCAGGCTGGAGCCTAGTCAGTAGCTGGCTCTGGCAGTCTCCCACGAGGAGGTGAGGGTCTGCTGTTCCTGATGTAGAGGCAGAAGATGCAGAAGAGGGGCTTGAGGGACCAGGGGAAGGAGCTTCCATGTGCTGGTGGCTGGTTTCATGAAGGTGACAAAAGGCATCGCCACCAAAGCAGGATTTACACATAAGAAATTGCTGGCTCTTGGTGCTGAAATGCCTCTCCTTGTTCTAGACAAGCTTGAGATGTGCTAATTACAGAAACACATCCAGAGCACTGTGTTGGTGGGAGAGGGGAGTTAATTTTGAATTTTCTTTTGTGACGAGGGTTTTTTCACTGCAACCACAAAGACCATGGTGGAAGAAAAATCTCCAACCCCAGGACCCAGAAAGCTCTGTTCTGAGAAGACATTATTAGGGGAGAAAAGCTAAAGATGTCATGTGTTTTGCTCATGACTTAATTGCAGTTGAGCAGTTCAGCAAGTAAGGTAAAATGAGGTGGACAATTTGACAGGTAATTTTGGTTCTCTAGGAAGAAATGAAGACTGTTGAATCGTTATCTGTCTTTTTCAAATTAATTTGGCTACTTGGAGCTAGCAGTGTGTCATTAACTGCAGTTGCTTGAAGTGCCCTTTTTCACCAGGAGCCTGGATGACTGGGATACCCACAGTGCTGGGCTGTGTGATTTCTGCACTCACAAATAACCACTAGTCTTGCTTGCTAGCTTGGCTCGTGGTTCTGACAACAGGACTGTATTTTGTCTCAGTTGGCTCTCAGTTTTGCAAAAAGATTTGAAGAGGTCCTTGAAGTGATGACTGTTTGGAGCATGTATATCAAGATTTTCTCCTTCTCTTTTATCAGTGATCCCAAGCGCTTTGCTTGTCTGATCTTAAATGTGACTTTAATTAATAGTGATGTCTTTGGAGGGGGGAGAAAATAAAACTAAACAGGCAGTCCCCCCACCCCCTGATGAAGCAAGCTTATTTTCAGCCTGAATGAGGGCACCAGTGTCTCTGTGGGGCTCACTTCTCAGACTGAGTGCTTGCTTTCCCTCTCACAAGCTGTAGAGGTGCTGGATGGAGGAGAGCTCAGTAGCTGAAGCTCAGCTCAAGGATGGGGAAGCTGAACAGAGCTGTTGCAGGCTGACAGAGGACCCTGTCTGTGCTGCAGTGGTAATAATGGTGCTTTATTGTTGCTGCTGCAGAGAAGCTTGCTGGGCAGCCTCAACTTTCAAAACTGTCGAGTAATTTTAGATGCCTAAACCTATGATTGGCCACTATATTGTATCCAGGAGAATCTAGTGATCAGTAGAGTCCTCTTGTTAATTTGTCAGATGGAAGATACTACGCAAGAGTCAAGTGCCCTTTTTAAAAAGAACAAGAAAATGGACATGGCATAGGAACAGCAAAATGTGTTATCTTGAAAGAAAATTCAAATACTCCCGACAGTCTGTCATACAGGATTTGTTTAAGTAAAAGCAAAGTTGGCTGGTGCTCCTCAGTTGGTTCACTGCTGGGTTGAGCTTTTTAGTATTATTTTTGTAAGTGGGCTTCAACAGGAGAGATTTTATCATATCAGAGAAACCAAAAATTTCTGTCCTTCCTGAAGAGGTTTGTTTCTAGTTTTAGTTTGATTGTTTGTGTTTTGGTTTGTTTTTGTTTTGTTTGGGTTCTGTTTTATTAATCCTTGTCGGAACAAGAACATTAAGATGAGGAAAGCCACCAGTCTTAAAGAAAAAACCTACACATTTTAATCATGGTAGGCACAGGTGGAGTTCAAGAATTTGTGAGGATTATGGGGATCACTACCTCCTCCCCTCCCCCCTGTTTCTGGTATTTTTTCTATCCATTAGTTGTCAGGTTTTCCATTATATAAAGGACTGTAATAGTGTATGTACCCTTGAATGTACAAATGTGCATGCACACCAGTGTTGCTGTCTCTGAGCTGTTCCTCTCTGTGGAATACAGATACTGCCCTGTTGATGTTTTAACTCATGTTCTTTCAGTGGTGCCACTCTCATATTTTCTGAAAAATCCCTTCATCAGGATTTCTTCTCCTGGGAAGCTGAGAAGCCTCAGAGAGAAATGAAAACAATAATTACCTGATTGCTTCTCCTGTGTTTGCTGCTTTGGAATGTGGTCTGGAGGTTGTTTACCACCTGGTCATTGTTTGATTGGTTTCATTTGAATTGTTTTAACTTAATGACCAATCATGTCCAGCTGTGTTGGCACTCTGGAAGCAGTCATGAGTTTTCATTATTATTCCTGTTAACCCTTTTGTGAGATCCTATCTGTATTCTTTAGTATAGTTCTAGTACAGCATTTCTTTAATATAATAATAGTATCATAAAATAATCAGCCTTCTAAGAGCATGGAGTCAGATTCATCAATTCCTCCTTTGTCCTAGGGACCCCAGCAGATACCACACCGTGGGGGCTGGGGGGAATAAGGGGAAAAATCTATCCCAAAAATCTGCTACAGAGTTATTAGTGTAGATGTGGCCACTAACCCTCTCCTCCTTTTTGGTTTTGGTTACATAATGGATTTAACAGCTTAAACAATTTCTGGTGGGTTTTTTTCCTTACCCTCCTGCAGCTGGTTACAAAGCAGCTATTGCACTGCAGAGTGAAGGCAGGAAAGAGCTTTCTTAGGATTTATA